CCGCAATGTCTGTCCCCTACATCACCGTGGAGAGCCGTTATGTGTGACAATAACGGTCATAACGAAAAATTAGTTGAGTCTCAAGACTATTTTGTTAAGAGGATTCCTGAATTGGGATGTTTGGCAAAATTCTAATTCACGTGTATTTGAGCTTCATGTGAGAGAAGACTGTAACACATGGAGGAAACCCACGTTTATCAGGGGTGACACGCAGCACTTTCATCTCCTGCCCATCTTGCTGTTACCGAAGCCCAATTTTCCTGGGAGGTCACTGTGCTTTCCCGTCCAATGCCTTACCAGGTTCAAAGCTGCTGAGCTTCTGGAGATCTGACGAGATTGGGCACACGAAAGGGGGTCATTTTTGCAGTCGGCATCTAGGTACCGCCTGCTGAAAACTGCGTTATGCCTTTCGTGAAGGCTTTTGGCCGAAATCGTATACACAATTTAATATACACAAGTAAAATCTACGATTTTGTGGAAAATAAATTGTTAATCGGTCCAGCTGAAGAAGAATCAACATATTTTATTAGGCTTTTTTTGTTGTTGCTGCTGCTGCTGCTGCTACTGCTGAAACGGTCACTTTCCCCATGGCTTAGTTGTGTTGACCCCACAAATAACAACACCCGTGCCACAGACACAGATGTACGTGGAAGAGCACTGTGTCACCCCATCAGCAGCATTTGCTCAAGCAAATAAACTCCGGATTAGTTTCGCCCTTCTGTGTCTCATCAGCAGAATCAGGGCTGGCTGAATCCTGCTTGTTAAACCAGATGTTAATGGTGATGACACTTCCTCTAAACAATGGGCCCCTCTATGAAAATATTCTTGACAGTATCCCGTGCTATATATTCTTAGAAAGGCCGAAAATAACGTATTTATATATATTTGTTTTCCTCGATAACTTTCAGTTCTCTTTCATGTACTATAGTCCCATTAAATGTAACTTATTGTTTGGCAAGTCGGCAAACGAAACCACCTTTTTAAACTTAACAATTTCGCAGGCTATGTTATAAGGCTGTGTGACCTGAGCATCGTGAGAGATGGGTGACAGATTGGGGGAGGCCGTCATCCAGCAGTGGATCGAGGATGGCTGATACCGACGATGACAGAGGTGCAGTTTGTTTGAGAAATAAAAAAATAAAGTTAGCTCGAAAAGATTTAAACTGAATTTTTCAAAAAATATAATTGCCATTCAAATGACGATTGGCACTACAAAGGAGGATCCCAGCTATGATTGTCTTCAGATTGCACCTCGGAATTTGGAGTGGGAGCTTCACCAACAAACACATTTGTACTAAATGATGCATGCTTTGCAGAACGATTTGTATTTGCTGCATTCCATCGACTTTACACTTCAAAGAGCAGAAAACGGCGACTCGAGTGCACTCTGCATGGATTGCAGTGTTCAGAGTCACGTGTGTGTACTTGCAGCTTTTGGGAGGCTGCCATGACGCGATGGGTCGTCATCACACTGGACTTGTCATGCAGATTATTTGGTGATGCTGCTGCGTTGGCAGTGGTTCACAAGCAACAACAACAACAACAAACAACACACTCTTAGGTTGTTTCGGTAAAGTCACGTAGGTAAAAGTAAATAATAATAGTAATAGAAATAATAATATAAATTAAATAATAACTCAAATTCCAAGATACAAGCTCTTAAATACAATTTGTAATTTTGCCTCACTTGATACAGTAAATCTAGCTGTGACGGTCCCACCTGATGACGGAGACTTGTGTTGCCTCCGAAACGTCGTGATTTATTATTTTATTTCTAAAAAATATATTATTTATTTTTACCTACGTGACTTTACCAAAAAAACCTAAGAGTATGAATACTTGCAGTCACGAAAGCTTCAAATCTAGAACAAACAACACCTCAACACGTTCATCAATAACAATAACTGTGGCAATGGCTCTCCTTCGTAGCACGCAAATATAGAAGTGTAAAGTCTCCAAGCGTTATCCACTCTCTCTCTGGCTTCTCTACGTTGTCCAGAGGTCACCAGTTAGATCTCGCGGCGTGGACGCGCCAACAGTGGATGAGTTTCTCTGAAGAAGAGATGGTGCCCGACAGCTCCCTCACCGTGCAGATGGAGCGATTATATCAGCTGGGGCGCAGGTGCTAAGCGAAATGACGCGTGAGAGATCAGATTTCTTACCTGAATCTGTATTTCGACTGGAGGAATCCGATGAGCCCCAGAGCTGTTTCTCACAGGCAGTCCAGATGTTGACAGCTTCGGGAGGCCTGCCGCCAGCAGTGGACAGATCATGGCTGATGACACTGAGGCTCGGTAGCTCTCGAGATTGGAATTAGGACGTCTGTGGGGCGTGCGCGCGGTGAGGGCAGGTTTACAGAGGCACTCACACTCGACTGGACGTGTGGAATTTCTCCCAATAGCTCAAGGGCCCTGCCGAGGGTGACGAGCACCCAGGGACTGCACGGACTCACGCGGTTCTGCTCGACCGGGATGTCCGTTTCGCACCGCGGGCTGGCAGATGCTTCCCAGCGCGTGGGGAGTCGTGTCCGAACAGAAGCGACCTGGCTATCACTAATGATTGCTTATCTCGTGGAAAATTCGTAGCAGCCAAATACTCGAAACGCGTGGATATGTTGATTGTAAATGTGGAGGGAAAAACTGGAGGACCCGGAGAAATATCCACGTGACCACGGAGAGAGAGAGAGACACGCAAACTCCGAATATACAGCAGGTGTCAGGGTTGGGATTGAACCCACGACCTCCTGTATACCAGGAGAGGTAATTAACACCTCCTAGCCAGCGTGGCACCCAGCACGCGGGAACAGCCCGAGAACACAACGGGCCCTACCACGCCGATCTCGTCAAGGAGCGTGAACCATCATCAGGCAAACTCCGGTCATCCTTGCAGCAGCAGCAGTAGCGGCGGCGGCTTTTGGATAACCATCAAACAAAGACGGTCACCGCATCGCGCGCTTTCAGATGCGCTTCTGCGGCCGTCTGGAACGCTTTTTCTTCTAGTTTTAGGAAGCCATTGGAGCGATGCACTTTTGAATCTCGATTTAAAACTAATTTCTTTGGAACAGTTTTTTGTGTTTAGTTTTTTTGTCCTTCCTTCCCCCGCACCTCTGATTAGCACAGCTGGCTACGTACGGTGCGAAAGAAGTTCAACGTACACACGTCGCAGAGCTACGGAACACAGCCCCGTTACTCCTTTGATGAGGAAGGCACTTGACTTTTGAATATAATTACGTGTAGTTCATGCTTAATTCGTTGAAAGTTTTGACTCTAATTAATTAAGGCCCGCTATTTCAAAAGGTCGAGTAAAAAAGAGTATACCATTAAGGATTGTTGTTGCAGTCATGTCATATTATTCATGACGGAAACAAACAATATAAAAAACAATCTTGCCCCTTAAATATTAAAGCCCAGAGTCATTTTCACACGTAGGTAGCAAGGCTGTCATTTTTTGGGAGGACATTCAGAGAAAATCACGCGAACGCGTGAGTACATGTTGTGCTCAGGATGTTTCCCAGAATGTCTCTTCTAGTTTAAACAGCGATGGGCTCGTAATCATGCGCGCGGTGGGGAAATTCTTGGACCAGGTATCCAGGCACCGTTGTCTTTGGCAGTGTGGGCTGTGGAGGCCAAGGTGCTTTGGACCGCTGACAAGGCGCTGCTTACGCAGGTAAGCATCATCGAGCAGTGGATGTTGTCGCTATGTTGGAACAACTGGTTTGGCTCGTGTGCGAGTCTTGGGTGTTTTTTTATTGCATTTCATTCGTAGAAAACACGCAAACACATTGATAAAAATAAGTTGTATTCCACATTTGCATCGTGATAACAAACTCAAAACATTCGTCCATAACACTGTGGCCTTCAGAGGAAAAGTATATAAAGGGCGACGTTTCAGGCGATGGCCCTTCTCCATTGCCCGAAACGCACCCCCATGATGATATACTTTTCCTTTGAAGGCCACCACTGTGTTATTGACGAACGTGTTCAGCCTGATTATTATTTGTGTGTGTGCATCGACGCAGAGGACGTGGACATGGAGAGCCATGAATGTGCGTACGGATCCCCATGTCGCAGCAGCAATCTCAAGTTTGCAACAACAACAAAGGTTGAATCTCAAACACGGAAAAATATATATCATTGACGAGCTACTTTCGTTCACGACAATCCCAGATTGTCTCCGAAATAAAGTTGTTGGCTGCGAGTCGTGATACGCTGTTGATGGGCACATCAGCAAGTTTATGGTGGGGGGGCCGGGGCAAACCCCACACCGTGCCCCCCCCCCTCCCGCCGCGCCTTCAAACTAAACCCGAAGTATTACATCTGACACCGTGACGTCGAAGCGCTGGACCCTCCCCCCCCCCCAAAGTGCGGGGCCCGGGGCGGTCACGCCGATTCTCCGTGTACCCCAGGGAGGGCTCTGTGAGCAGTGGCAGAGCGGGCTGGGGCCAGGAGTCCGACTGTGAAACACAGAAGAAGAACTCGTCTGTGACTCCAAGCTTCACTACACACCGCCTTGGTGCCGATTCCACTGCAGACTTGCGTGTACGCTTACACATTCATGCGCTTTTTTTTGTTCGCTTGTAAAGGAAACGATTGATGGATGCGGAGGGTCCGAGTCAAGCACTTACTTCTTCTTCTACTTCGCCATGCGACCGGCCCATATAAACAATCACACCATCATCACCATCATCATCACCATCAGCCGTTTCGAGATTATACTTCTGCGTTCCTCCCACCATGTCTGTTGTAACTCTGCAAGTCGCTGCTGGGTGGTGCCGTGCGTGCGGCGCACAGCGCGCTGGCACCGTGCCCGACACCCGGCCGCTTTCCCCCCTCTCCCCACCACCACCCACCACCAGCCCACCGGCCCACCCGACCCAACCCCACCACCACCGCCTCTCCTCCCCTTCACTCTCCTATCAACACTCCCCCTGACCCACGCAGCCCGTGCTTGCTACACCACCACCCACCACCACCCACCACCACTACCATTCTTCGGCAGACTCTTCAACGCATACGTCCATACACCCCACCCACCGCACCGCCCTTTAAAAAAGGCACGCTCGCAATCAAGCCGCCACAACGATTCATTTGCCTTTGACGTTGGACGTGATTATACCGACACACACACATATATAGTGTGTGTGTGTCAGGCGTTATGTCCAAGTTGACCGAGCGTGAGTGTCTCTCTTAACGGGGGTTGGTTCAACTCATCTTGGCAAGTTCCAATGAAGGAAGATATCATGTATGAGCTATGTGACCACAAGATGTACATGCATGTGCCGTGCAACACGAGACGACAGGTAACGTGTCGATTGCGTTCAAACGTCACTTTTCGCTTTCACGTTGCTTCGTTGTGAACGGATTACTCACAAACATGTCACTTTGACGTTACCTGCTCCGAGTTACACGTTTTATCCACTCGATATCTTTCGTAAATGGTTACTGTGACAATTGCCATGCGCTGTTTCCTCTCTCCCCCACTCAAACTAAATCGGGTTAACTCTGTTAAATGTGGCAAAGTGTTGAAACAATACTTGTTTGTGTGTTTATGTACTGCAGAGCATTATACCCTTTATACAAAATGCCTTGTTTTATTTAATCTGTAATGCGGAATTTCACACGCAACACTGAATTGTATTTATAGATGTCCCCGTAAATGCACTGCGTAGTTCGAACAACATAGCAGGCATACACTGCTTCCTAAATTTGACATCTTTCCGTGATTTTTAATGTTCGGCTAATAATAACAACGTGACGTTAATGTATCATGTAGTGCGATGTGCCGTGTTCGTGGTTCGGTCTGGGTGATTGCTCACAGCGCTCGTCCGAAAAATGTACGTCAACCACGCTGATTATAATTGTGTGGTATTACTGCATGTCATTTTGTGTCAAACTAGAACCTGTGCCGTAAAGAGAGAGTCATTGCTGCTAAGATACGGTGGTTTCACCAGCGTTGATTCGAGCAAGCGTGACTGCTGATGAGCAACTGAGTGTCGAAATCCGTTCACAGTTTCTCTATGAACGTTGCACTTCTTTATAAACTGCACGTAGCCGGGTCAAACTGTACCAAATCACGCTGCTGAACGTATTCACTTACGCCAGGAGATTATGCGGCTGATGACTTGTGCAAGAAAAAATTATTTTTGCTCTGTGGGGAGACGAATATGTGGAGGGGAGACATTGCTTATTTATTTTATGCATCGACATGTGGGGGAGGGAGGGGGGTGCCTTGGGTGAGTGTAATTCTAACCCCCACCTCGGCCTCCATTCGTATCGTGCAGAGGAAGAAAAAAGAGAAGAGATGGCTGATGACTTTCCTTCTGGTGGTGGGACTCTTGCTGGTGGGCGCCTTTCTGCTGCTGCCACTCTTCTGGGATTCGGAAAGCCAGGGCCAGTCTGAGTCGGAAGAGGTCATCGCAGTGTGTGAGGACTCGTGCAGGTACTGGGCGTGCGTGACGCGTCATTTCTGGTGGTGGTTGTTGTTGTCAGGGCCTCTCATTCGATATTTTGCGACGACGACGACAAAAAAACGTCGCTTGCAGTCTTGTTAGAGGGATTATCGAGAGTAAGGCAACTACTACCTGCTGGAGTTTAGAGTACGGCACACAAGTATAATCCGATGAACAGGTTTGTCAAATCGATAATATAGGTGTTTGGGTTAGATCGCGTAAATATGTGTCGTTAAACCCGCCACCACCCGACACAGCCAATTAGTAAGGTTTGTCACGTCAACAGAACAATTCGTTACTAGTACAGCACAGCGGTGTGTTGGAGGGCAAAGCCACAACATTTACAATCTGAGTACGACGTTTCGTGAGTAATTTCAACGAGCATCATCTGGCGACAGGCAGATGATGATAACATGATGATGCTAATCTGGCTGTCGCCTGATGATGCTGATTGTAATTACTGGCGAAACGTCGTACTCCAATTGTAAATGTTGTGGAATTACTGTCCAACACACGGCGTGCTGTACTAGTAACGAATTGGCACGTTCTGTTGACGGGACACACATTACTAATTGACTGTGTCGGGTGGTGGCGGGTTTAACGACACATTTATATATTTACGCGATCTAACCCAAAAAAAACCTCTATTATGGATAATATTGTTCGTGGAAGCCTACGCGTTAAACTGTTAGATGCGGTGCCGTGAGGACAAAGTAAGACGATATGGATGTGGCAACATCATTCCTGCAACAGCGTCCCCTGACTGTTCTGGATGAAATTAAGCACTGAGTTTTTTTGTTTAATCCTCAAGTGTCCACCGGCAATCCGGTATCCAACGATTCGCTCCCACCAACCACCCTCATAATTCGATAAATGATGCCGGGTCAACAATTTGACTCAATAATTGATTATTATATTACATTTTACACTGTGGTGTTGAATGTCGTGCCTCTTTGGGGGCTGCAGTGATCACATGAACCCATTACTCAGACAACTATATAAAGATAAAGGCCCACAATAGAGCTATTTTTGTTGGGTTAGATCGCGCAAATATAAACGTGTTGTGAAACCCGCCACCACCCGACACAGCCAATCAGCAAGGTTTGTCACGCGAACATCACATTCCAGTTCGTTACGAGTGTAGTGGTGTGAACTACTCGCTGTTCGCAAACTGTGAGAGAGCAGATCGTAAACAAGGTTTTCCCGCTCAATGAAACGGTCAGGGTCAAATGGGGTGAGGTAGGATCCAAACGCTAGATTGGGAAGGACCAATCGGAGGGTTCCACAAGGTGGCCGGGGATTGGACAACCCGGCCACGAACAGGTATAAAAGCCAGATCGCTGAGAGCTCTTGGCCAGTTCTGCTACACGAAGACCCAAGTCGGCCGAAGACAGCTAGGACCCTGGACCAAGCCTTCCAGCCCTTGTCAGGGTTGGGGCTCAGGGTAACCAGTGGTCAGGGGAGATAGGTCCTGGATAGGGAGGACCCTGCCAGCCTTCTAGCCCTTGTCAGGGCTGAGGCTCAGTGTAACCAGTGGTCAGGGGAGATAGGGCCTGGATAGGGCCCTGGCTCCCAGCCTTCCCGCCCTTGTGAGGGCGAAGGTCCTGAGCAACCAGAGGTCGGGGACCCGCCGGGCCAGCGACGGGTCAGTGTGCCTCCCCTAGGTCCCAGCCGGAGGGACGCTAGGCTAGCGGGGAGATTAGATAGACAGCAAGTCCGGAGGCTGTACCTCCTTAGAATAGGAGCTAAGCGTGAGTGTGGAGCTGTACAAGGTCCGGAGGCTGTATCTCCTCAGGGTAACGGGTGAGGGGACCATATACCCCTTTGTGTGATAAGGACTGTGTAATAAGACAACTAACAGTGTGTGCCATAAGAAGTTTATAAGTCCGTCCTTTACAACACTGCACGAGTACCAGCACATCGGTTGTGTGTTGAAAAGTAAACGCACAACATTTACAATGAATATGTATGCGATATAAGCCCCCCAAAAAACCTCGTGGATAATATCGCTCGAGAAAGCCTCCACGTGTTCAAGGTAAAGGTGCAGCCCTGCAATGTCCTGCTCACTCCGCTGATGGTGGAAAGGCCCCCACTAGGCGGAGCTAGTGGGGGCTCTGTTTGTGGAAACGGGAGTTCAGCAGAACATTTGTGTATGTGTGCGCGCGTGCGTGTAATCTCTATCCTCAAGAGTTTCTCTCAAAAATAATCCCCCCCCCGTGCTCATTCAACGGAGGAATCGCAAAATCGACACGAACTCTCTCCTAAATCCACCGCTCCATCTCTGTCTCGCTCTCCTCGTGGCGAGCAGACATTAGCATCGAGCTCCTGAGCAGATTTCTGCCATCGTGCCCAAGTAGAACAGAATCGCGAGCAGCCTCGCATCTGCCCAGTCAGCGAGGTGCTGTTCGTGCTCTGGGCGAACGCAGCTTCTGCTAACGGGGTGCGAACTTTGGTGGCCTGGCTGTGTGCGAGGCTGTGCCGGAAACGCGTTCCGAATCTCGCCTTGCCGGTGGTGTCATCTATTCGTGGCAATGGGACTATATCTTCTTGCTCATATATTTGACATCGCCTTTTTTTGGCGTGCAATAGCAGCACCACCACCATCGGCAGCAGCAGCGGCGGCGTCGTCGCTGTTATCGTGTTCGGCGCACGCCGAGGGTTTCACCCGCACCGCGCCATTCCCAGCCACGCGTGGTGGTCTCTTGTTCCCTGATTAGCCCCCGTGGATGTCCGCGGGCAGTTGGCCAGGGCGCGGTGAGGAAGCTGGCGCAGGAGAACTGTGGGAGTTGCCGCGGGTGGGGAGGTCGGGGTCCAAACGGTGGCTCGATGCCCGGGGCTGTACGCAATCCTCGCCGCCTCTCCCTCCCACCTCACACACGGATTAATTGTCAATGCAATAGACGAGCAGAGGGGCCCCGTCGTGTCAGTATGAGTGGGGCCATCATCGACAACCATTGTCTGGGTCCGTGTGGGTGGCTTCCCATCTGGAGTTCAACTCCCAGTCTCTGAATTCCCTTGCGGCTTCGGGGCTTGTGGTCCGCGAGTGCGGGGTGCGCTACCAGGTGTTACATCTCGTTGTCCTTCCTCCGCACCACCGATTAGCACGGTTAGCAACGTACAGGTGCGAAAGAAGTTCAACATACTTGATGATGATGGTGAAGATGTGATTTTTATTTAAGCGCAACTCACAACACAGCTCTCAGTGCACAGGCTGGTGTCATATCTAACACATTATTACTACTCGGTGGTGAAATTCAAGGTACAGACGATAATAATAATGAGGGTTAATATAACATGAATGTGAAATGGTTAATGCTGCACAAAGATTGCATTGGCATTAGTGCCCTGTGCCAAAAAGCCAACTTTTTACACGGCCAGCGGCTGCCGTGTGGCAGGGGGTTGGGGAGGGGTGGAGAGGGGGATGGAGAGAGGGGTGGAGAGGGGGACAGAGAAGGATGGGCGCCTCAAACAAGGTGAGCATTTGGAATGCGTCAACATCGCCACTCGGAAGAGACAAAGGCGGGCCCCGGCGTGGTTGCTGCCCACCTTACACCCCCTGGTGTGGCCGTGCCGGCCTTCATAGGCGCTGCTACTCGCTAACAGCACTTGCCCCGACGGTCTGTTCAGGGGTGGGGGGATCTTTGTCTTTGTCGCGTGGCAGTGCCTCGCTGATGGAGAGCGTTCCCGACGGCATGGCGTACAGCCCCAACGCGTCCATGCTGCAGCCCCTGCACCCGGGGTGGACGCGGCTCGCTCGCTCGGCCCAGCGCACGCTGCAGGTGGCCTCCTTCTTCTGGACCCTGACGGCCAGCGACCTCGGCCTCAACGAGAGCAGCGCCCAAGAGGTGACCCCCCCCTCCTCCACCCCCCCACGCCAACTCGTGTCCCGCTCGTCTGGGGTTCTTGGTTTGCTTTTTGTCAGGTTGACACGGAGGAGGCTTTCGCGAGCAATGTCATCCATGATAAAGTTTTTTTGGCGGTTAGATCGCGTAAATATAAATGTGTCGTTAAACCCTCCACCACCCGACACAGCCAATTAGTAAGGTTTGTCATGTTAACAGAACATGCCGATTCTTTACTTGTACAGCACACCGGTGTGTTGGAGAGCAAATCCACAACGTTTACAATCTTGCTTTAGTGGTGGTTCATACTCTTAGGTAATTTCGGTAAAGTCACGTAGGTAAAAAATAAAATTAAAATTGATAACACTGAATTTTATTAATTTTAATTAAATGTTTTACCTACGTGACTTTACCGAAAAAACCTAAGAGTATGAATCCTTGCAGTCACGAAAGCTTCAAATCTAGAATTAGTGGTGGTTCCCAGGGGCGCAGCTACCTAACAGCTGGTGGGGGGGGGGGCTATGCAAGATCCGACTGTGCCCCCCCTCCTTTCTCCCGACTCGCTTTTACTGAAATAGCTGCGGATGGTTTTTAACCCCACATAACAATTATATGTCGGCTACAACTACAACTTTATATATTATTCTTGACTTTACCGAAAGAATCAAGAATATGAATCCCTGCAGTCACGAAAGCTTTAAATCAAAATTTATATATATTATTGTTCTAATTGTAAAAATATTTTTTCCCTTATCTTTTATCACTCGTTAATCTGTTGATTCAGGGCCCCCCTTGTAGCCGACTAGGTCCGTGTGCGTCGCATCACGCTGCCACATGCCCCCCCCCCCCCCCACCTTAGCAGCCCCTATGGTGGCGCAGCGCGTGTTTGTGAGTCGTTTGCAGCACAGCTAGTGCGTCTGACAGTCATCTCAGTCAGCCAGCCCAGGGCACCTGCTGGGTCTGTCCCGTGACCTCCCGTCACGTGGTTCTCAAAGTGCACCTGGCCTGGCACAGGCGCCGTGGTGGCGTCGCCGTCACTCGTTGGCGAATAGCGGCTGTGTGGGGTATTGGGGGAGCGGTGGGGCAGCGCTTGGCACGCGCTGCGCACTACGAACCCGGCCACCCGAGTTAGAGTCTCTCTCTCACGGCCAACATCGGTGACGGTTATCCCTTAGGTCGACTCAGTTTCAAATTAGTATGCACTTGGTGTGACGTGTAAACATCGCAACAAGGGAGACAAAGGCGGCCGGGCGTGGTGCTAGTCACGCACACCCTCGCGTGCTCGCTATATTCGAATTCCATTTGTCATTGGCTGGTGCGATCAAAACGTTCTCTGACCAGACGAACACCTCTGTAAGGTGGCTTGCACAGCAGTGGGCTTGCATCTTCCCAGGATGGCTGGCCCTGGTGGTCTGATGCATCATTACCCTGATGCGTATGCATAGCAATTCAACGATCATTTACCTAAAACTAGAAAACACGAAGAGGAATTTGCCCCCTTCTCAAACCGAAGCCAAGAGCCGCCTCTGACCCAGCCCTGACACAGCAGGCACTGCAATGGAGTGAAATGTGGTGGCTGCTGTTGTTTTTAATCGCTTCACAGTTGATGCGTGGGGTCGTTTTCTTTTGTTAAATATCAAACGCACATACCGGCGAGATGTATTCAGATACGCACGCCTTATTTACGGGGTTGACCCAGCCCTCGCAGGAGAAAGGTTCACGTCCAATTTTAGCCAGGGGCAAGCGTTTTTGCAAATGCCAAGAATTCGGGGCTGTGACCCACCGCCAGTACAGTTTGCCACTCTATCAAATCATGTCACAGTATCTGTCCCGTGGCTTATTACCGTGCAGATATGGGAATGCAGTATTCCGATTGCCGCCAGAGCATTAATATTCTCCAGACTTAATATGTTTCAGTGGCAAGGTCACAATCACACACTTCTTTGCTGACCAAAATTAGTTAATTGTGCACATACAGTTATTTTTTATTTTACATATTTGTCTTGTCGACAGAAATCTCATTACAATTTAAAGTACACATTCACAAGCTAATCAGTTATAGCTACTAAGTAAATTAATTTTTTCCTTCATGAATGCTTTGAGCAGTTCCCAAAAGAAACTGCTTTAAGTTGGGTATCATCATCATCATTTACCATGGTCAATCCACTGCTAGATGAAGATGCCCCTAAGCCGCCACAACCTATCGTCACCCTGCGATGGCGACAGCGATTGTGTGTGGATGGGGGTTGTCTGACCGACTGTACTTCTTCACGCTGGTCAGTGATGGTTGGTGACAGCGGAAGGGAGCTCCAGGTCAGATCAAATATCACGAGCCGCTAATATTCGCCATGACCAGAAATATAACTCCGATTGGCGGCTTCACGGTATGTCTGAATGTTGAACCTCCGTCGCACCGCACATAGCCAATCGTTCTAATCGGAGGTGCAAAGTGCAGTGCACCAAATAGAATGATATTACTTTTAAAAAATGTTGATAGTGTTCTGCAGTGCAGTATTTTCAAAGCATCTACCGTAAAAACACACACACACACTTGTAGTTATTTTAGTTTGTCTGCGACAATATTCTTTATTAAACACACAAGTGCTGTGTGTGCTTTTTTTTTTACAGTTTTTCTAAATTATTCATTTACACGGAGAGACAAACGAGTTAGAGAATTTCCAATGTGTAAAGTCATTGTGGTATGCCCTCTACGCCGTCCGCAATGTCAACAATAGTCACACTTTCTCTCGGTGCAATGATGTTGTTTTAAAGTCACTGCTTCCTTGCAGGGAAAAGACCTCTTGGATCTGCTGCTATCGCTGCCTTCCAAGGGTGTAGCGGTTTCAGCCGTGTCTAGCAACAGCATCGTGTCCGAAAGCACCGACTTTGCTAACCTCACAGCCGCAGGTACACAAAACCTAACGAACACCCACCTGTTAAATGTCTCCATCAGAGAGAAAGTCATTCTCGAGGTGGCCAACATTTTTCACTAAAAGAAACGACCTTGTTGGTGTTTTATGTTTAGTTTCGTAGCATATCACAGTGGTGGATAAATGCGAGTCAGTGGCAGATCTTGTGGCCTCGAAATCCACTGCAGAGGAATTTGTGGTTTTGTGTTTGTCGGCTCTGCGACGTGCCTTCGTGTTGTTCGGCACAGTGTCCGACGTTTCCATGCGCTGGCAGAACTGAATTTAAATCAAATCAGTTTCCTAAAACAAGCTGCCGACGGCACGTGGAACAAAACGTCGGACATCGTGCAGAACGACACGCGGCACTACCCAGGCACGCGCCGGAGAGCTGGCATGACCCAAAGCATAATTTGACCATTTTAAGAAGGGCTCGGCAAAGTTCGGAATGTTGACTGCCAGTGAAAGACGCGGACCATATTGTCCCCGAGGAACAGGAGCGATTTTTACGCGTGAAACGACGATTGATTCTTTTGTTAACAACGCCTGCATGAACGCATTCGGTGACGTAACGTATTACTGTATTTATAGCGTATGCAAATGATATGCACATTACACAATAATATACATTTAGGCTAATGGAATGAAAAGCGTAGACCAGCCGAGACAGAACGTATGAGACAGACAATACAAAATGAGACGTAGTTAAAACAAAAAATCCGCCAAAATATGGAATCCTTTATTAGAATCATGACGTCAAATCGTGGCAATTCGTTCCATCTTCGGGGAAGGTGAATTGATTCTAATAATAATAATTATACATTACATTTATAAAGTATATTTCTAATGTGTATTCAAGGCGCTGCCTTGAATTGATTGCTGTTCAGTAAGTTGGTGATGCTGGAATTTGGTCAACACTAAAGTTTAATTAGTGCAGTATTTCTTACTTCCTGCCAAGTACGAGCACACATGCCTTTGACACGATTGCTCCCAGCAGACAATGAAGCTAAGCCCAATTTTGGAATGAAACATTTCGACGATTAAACTACCAGCGTGCAAAAAATTGCGTGACTGATTACATGCAATGTATGGCTGCACGACACGAATGCAATTACTCGGAGTATAAATGCATTGTAAATTGACGGTTGCAAGGCCCTGTGTTTTATGACGCATGGTCTCAACTCTCAATTCGTTATCTCACATGATGATGATGATGATAAAAAATAAACTCTCTTGCCATCTTTTGTCATCACAGGAGCACAAATGAGGCATACTTTAGGAAGAGTACCTTAGGAAAATACAACTTAGAACAATTATAATTTGGTCATTCATACTTTCGTGGTATTTATTTTCTGGTGATTACACGCAGCACTGTGGAGGCATCGAGGGTTGTTGGAATACACAAAGGTTGGGCAACACTCTACCTGTGTGATTTAAGGTGCCATCGCCTGGCTTGCCAGGATTAGGCAGCACAGCAAGTTGACTTTCTCCATCTGTACGGGGATAGAGCGTTGCCCCCTCGCACGCGTGGATTTTCTGCGCGTGCTCCGGTTTCCTCCCACACTCATAAAACATAAAAAAAGCATTTGCAGGATCCTCCTGAATACGAGTCATGGACTCGTATTTCTGGATAATTAATAATATAAATTTTCTTAATATTATTACAAATGCGGATGGTTTCTAGGTTTAAATTGTTGACAAAACCAAGCACGCTGTGTGGACATGTGAAGAGACGCGCTCACACACCGAGCTACAGCTGCTGCTCGACATGCGCGTGCTGTGGGGAGCGGCGGCGCAGCGGTTAGCACGTTGCGCTACAAACCTGGCGTCACCAACACGGGTGACGATAATCTAATCCGGTCCTGGGCCTTCCCTAGGCCGACTCAGTGTGAAATGAGTACCTGGTGCAAACAGATGCTCAACATCAACGCTGCGGTGACAAAGGCGGCCGGGCGTGGTGTTGGCCACCCACCCCCTCGTGTGCCGTACCATCCTTCATAGGGGGCTGGCTAACAGCACTCATCCCAGTAGTCTGTTAAGGCTACACGGGGATCTTTGTCTTTGTCTTGTCTGTGGTGCAGGAGCGCAGACCCGCGTGGTGGACATGTACCGACTGACAGGAGGGGTCATGCACAGCAAGATCTGGGTGGTCGACAGGAAGCACATCTTTATTGGGAGCCCAAACATGGACTGGAGAGCCATCACCCAGGTGCCGGATTTTCCAAAGCAACCCCCCCCCCCCGTTCATTAGATAATGACACCAATTTACAACTAAAACTGTTTAACTTTAAAAGAAAAATACGATTGTGAAGAAAAAAAAGGATAGACAAGTTGTCTTTCTTGACCTCGTCTAATTATGTAGTCATAATGTTACGTCCAAGTACAGTTATTGTTCTTCTTTATATACATACAGCGTATGAATGTGTTATAAGGAGTTGAGGCTCTTACATTTAGAAGTGTGATATGACAGCGATGCACAACTGGATTTGCAATGCAGAGGTCGCCAGTTCGCTTCAATCTCTCGATGCGGCAGCTCAAACGACGGGGCACGTTTCTTAAAAGCCCCCCCCCCCCTCCAGCCCATCGCTTCTGTCCACCCAGCGGAGCGAATGGATTCACCGGAGTTCCTGAACGGAACATAATTCCAGGCTACTACCGCCATACATTTCGTGTAGTACTGTGAAGCCTGTTCATTAATCAGAGGCACTCTGCCCCCCGCCTAGGTAAAGGAGCTGGGAATTGCCATCTACAACTGCAGCTGCCTGGGAGAGGACCTGGCCAAGGTGTTTGAGGTGTATTGGTTGCTCGGCCGCCCCAACGCCACCATCCCAGCCCACTGGCCCGCCAACCTGAGCACCAGCATCAACAAGGAGAAGCCCCTGCAAGTGCGCCTCAATGGCACCCCCACCGAGATCTACATCTCTGTAAGTGCAGCAACACCACCACCGCGAACATCGTCGTCGTCATCGTCGTCACGCGCACGCGTCTCAGCACGCTTACCAGCCAGCGTATGACACAGTGCACATTACCGTCGTGTATCATATTATGTAATGTCATTTATAGCCCTTTGTCAAACCACTGTCGAATGAAGGCCTCACCATGTTGTGTCGGTTGGGGGGGGGTTGTTTGGCCATACTTCACCACGCTGGTCAGTGTGGGTTGGTGAAGAGAGGAGGCCCAGGACTTGTTTAGATTTCACTCACAACCGACGTTCGTGATTGCCCGGAATCAAAAGCAGGCTTCCTGAAGCAGTGCACTAACCACTGCACCATCACTCCATCCCATGATTGGGTAACATCATAACTAAAACAAGTGTACTGAGAGTTAATTTATAAACCACATTAACACTAAACTAAGCCTCAATATTCCATGAGGTTGTATGTCAATATAAAACAAAATTACGTACAAATTTACAATTTACTTTGTCACAAATTACATAAATTGTGATTGATGATGACAAAAATGATGGCCGATGACCAAGAGCAATGATGGGGGTGGCAGCCAAGGAATGGAATTAATCGAGCGATGAAGGCTGCTTGGGTAGGTCTCCATCCACCAGAGGATGACAATGAATGACGAAACTGATGATGTAAGATCACGCATGAACCCACGGCACAGGCGCCGTGATAACGTCGCCGTCACTTAGTGGCGAATGGCGTGGTATTGCTATTGGTGGCAATTTACGGAGTTCCCATCGCAACAAATGTTTGCCCACATGACCCCTTACCCTTTCGCCTCTTCCCCAGAGTTCTCCGCCGAGCCTGTGTGCCACGGGCCGCACCTCCGACCTCGATGCCATCTTGAGCGTCATCGACTCGGCCCGGACGTTCGTGCACATCGCCATCATGAACTACTTCCCCATCAAGGAGTTCCACACGCTTCCCAGGTGCTTCTTAAAAACAAGCTTAGCGCCAAATCCGCTCACGCTCGGCCTTGTTGCCGGATAACCCTTGTGGCCAAACCGAATCGGGGGCGTTGTCTCTTCAGAATCTGCATCTGCCCAGCTCAAGGGTTGGGTAGAGAATTATTTTTCAATCGCATTTTTTTAAAGAATATAAACGAACACCTGTAGAAGCCATCCTAGCGTTGAGTAATTGCAATGAAATGCAACCTGTGTGTATAAAAAGCTATATGTTGCCATCATTAATATAAACAAGATATTTTTAAATAGACAGCTATTCTTTTCAATAATCGGATTCAGCTTAAAATAACCACAGTTTACAAATGTGTGAAATAAAGCATCCCCTCATTGAAAACAATACACATCTGAACAAAATCCTGTCCGTGCGCAGACCGTTATCTCCGTGGGAAAAGAACAACATTTACTTGTTCGAGGCATTTAAATCCAGGAAGCCCATTTGAGAATGACACATCCTGTTTCTCGTGGTAACACAAAAATTACAGCCATTTGTCAATGTGGTGCCGGATGTAGGCCTCCCCAAACTGTGCCGGGCTTCACAACGCAAAATTCACTCCCAGCAATCTGTTTGGCCGATGGGATGTGTTAAACAAGCAATTCAGTTGTTGTTTGTACTATGCTGATGGAAAGATGTGGGCTGGAGTGCGAATTGGATGCTTTTATTTGGGCTCACCACCCCGGTCGGTGTGGGTTGGTGCAGAGGCGACCCAGGACTGCTTCAGAAATCACTGAAGCAGTCCTGGGCAGGAATCCAACTCAGGTTGCCGTCTTCCCAGTGTAGAATGATATATAGTACAAGTTATCGACTTGTACTGCTTACACTTGCAGTAGGGAAACTTTGAGCTGCTACCACTGAGATCTTGGGTTTGAATCACCGCAGCTGCCTGCTGTTAAATTTGGTTCCCAAGTGTCGTGAGTTGATGGTCTCAGCCTGGTCACAAGTGGACCGCACAAAACACCATCACATTCAATTTAGTTCTGCACTTAATTTAGCTAAAGTCTAACGTCACCGTCACGTGAGAAAATCTACTCTCAGTGACGGAGCGGGTGGGCAGGTGCTGCCCCCTACTGTGCGAAACAGAGGTCACCTGAGGATTGTCGGAGGCAGCTCTACGGCATCCGCTTCCTTGGGACAATTTCTAACATGAAGGGGTCGCGCTGCGCTGCGGGAGATCCGTAACGCGACGTGACGCCGATCGCGCGAACCCGGCTACGCAATTATATATTCACTCCAAAGCACTGTTCTTATTTTTTTCACCGGATAAAATTGGTGGGGGATACAAAAACAAGTAAACCCGTAAAAACAAAGTTTTTCATTATAAATCCTTTATATGCGTGGCGTCTAGAGTCTTCTCGTCCTCTGGCTTGAGATGGCTGCCACCTATGGGTCAGATGATTGTCTGCCAGTATTAAGCAATTGGTAATTAAATATTTAATTTGTTTTCCCTAAACAGTGTAAAATTTTGGAAAAAATTTTTCACGAACATTAATTGTCTCGCACAACGAGTCTGTGTGCAAAATGTCAGCTCGATTGGATCACGGGAAGTGGGTTAAAAAACGACCGAAAGATTTGCACGGTCGTAAGCAAGCACGCAAGCAAGCAAGCAAGCATGTGAACTTAATATAAAGGATTTAAAAAACCCAGAGGCGCTAACCGGCAACGCCGCTCACTCGCCAGGTACTGGCCGGCTATCGACGAGAGCTTGCGCCGCGCGGCCTACGAGCGGCGCGTCCACGTGAAGCTGCTGGTGGGCTGCTGGCACTACACGCGCACCTCCATGTTCATCTTCCTGCGCTCGCTGCAGGCGCTCTCCGACAATTCCACGGGCTGCGACGTCGAAGTGGTGGGTAGTGGCGGCGACGACGACGGTGGCGACGTCCTAGACCAGGGGTGTCCAAACTTTTTGCAAAGAGGGCCACATTTGATAAAGTGAAGATGCCCGGGGGCCAATAGTTCCTTCTGACATTTTTTTAACCACACAAGTTACATGAAAATACACACTGTTATAAAAAAAAATCATTGTCACAATTACCTTTATTTTTCAAATGACAATGTAACCAAATATAAGCCACTCAGGCAGACGTGAACAACTCTAAAAACGCTATTCTGCCTTTCATTCAGTCAGATAACATTGAACAAATTGTATAGAAATTTCCATGAGTTTTATGATGTATTTATTCTTACAGAGCTGGCGAGCCATAAATAACACATTATAAGACCGAAGCTGTGGGCCGTATTAAATCTGACCGCGGGCCGTGATTGGCCCACGGGCCGGACTTTGGACATGCCTGTCCTAGACCATCGTCCAGCAGTTTGTTAGCCAGGGGTGCCCCCCCCCCCCCACTGCCCGCCAGCAATCACTTGCTCATGCCACCGCTGGCCAAAGAGCCTCCCAGTGGAGAGAGCCTCGAGATAGTGCCTCGAGATAGTGCCTCGAGATAGTGCCTCGAGATAGTGCCTCGAGATAGTGCCTCGAGATAGTGCCTCGAGATAGTGCCTCGAGATAGTGCCTCGAGATAGTGCCTCGAGATAGTGCCTCGAGATAGTGCCTCGAGACGAGGGTCTTTGGATTCTTTTTTCACGCTGATCAGAAAGCTTGGATATGGTGGGGAGTACCCACGCTTTACTCCGCCACGAATGAGCTGCCGGTCGACTTACTGTCGTACACCCATTTATACTGCTGGGGAGGGATTTAGGAGACTTGACCATTGCATCACGGGGACCTTGACAGCCATGTGGATATCCGAGTGGGTAAACATTATTGCTGGGAATGCAGAGTTGATGGTTCATTTCCCATAATAAATGCAATCGTGTGATGGGGCATTGATGAACATTTGCAGACAATGTTATTGTTAAGGCAATCTACCACGTTTGCTTTTAAACCTTCAACCTTCGTTTTTACGAGAGTTAATTCAACGCCACCATTTCTTCTGCCACCACATCGCAGCCTTTCACTTCCAGTGTAAAGTGTTACCGTGGGTGTACCAACACAGTGGCTGTCTCCTGTGGCTTGCAGAGAGCTCAAGGACCCGTGTGCGTGTGATCTAACGATGAGGCTGACGCGAGCGCATCTCTTGTTTGCCGCTCAACAGAAAGTCTTCAAGATCCCAGTCGACGAGCACCAGAAGTCGATTCCTGCCACTCGTATTTACCACCACAAGTTCATGGTGACTGAAAACACGGCTTACATAGGTAAAGGACACCTTTACGGGCAAACACGACTGCAACCATACACCTATTACTCCCATGAAGGAGCATAAACCATCACCACGCAAACTCCGGTCATCCTCGCAGCAGAGGTGACTTGGCTAACCATCGAACAAAGACGGTTACCACATCGCGCGCTTTTAGATGCGCTTCTGCGGCCGTCTGGAAAGCTCTTTCTTCCGATATTAGGAAGCCACTGGAGCTATACACTTTTAAATTCAGATTGAAAACTAATTTCTTGAGAACCGCCTTTTGTGTTTAGTTTTGTTGTCCTTACCCCCGCACCTCCGATTAGCATAATGGGCTACGTACGGTGCGAACGAAGTTCAACACACATACATAATCACCAGCTCTAATAAAAGCAGTAGCATGATGGTCATTAAGCGAAACATTTTTTGACTCAGCTACAATCATTCTACCACATTGGTTCGTGATTTTTCTTAAAGGTTTTCACACAGCACAACACGATGAATAAACTAAAAACAAAGTTCATGTTTTATAATCGTTGAATACGCATGGATATTCACAATACGCAGATTTCCACTTCGAATTATAATAGTTTGAAATGTTAAATATCAGTGTCGCCCAGCACCGTGCATATCTGTGCCACGTTATAGTTTCGGCTTAAAGTCGGTGGGACGGTGCACACCCAGGTGTTGAGAGTTAATGTTCTGTCTCAACTTCTTATATAATCCACACACTCACCACTGGCAATGAGCATCACATAAGCCACATTTTACATTTCTAATAGCCTTAATCTATGGTTTGATTGGAAAGTTGTGAGTTCAGTCATCCAGCTGAGGTTTGGCCTAAGTGAGATGATGAGACCTACAGTGTGTACCTTAAACTTAATCACCTCGAATAAACTGCAGTGTAAATATTGACAATTCTCCGAGCGCGTGGAACGAAACGTTGGACATCACGTCAAGCAACACGAGCTACACAGCACAGCGGCGAACATCTACCTGCTGACATTCATGCATTCTCTAGCCTCGTAGTCTACTCCAGTGTCAACAGCCAACCTTCCAATCGCCTTCTTTCACATTCCCACCTAGGAACATCCAACTGGGCGGAGGACTACTTCATTGACACGGCCGGGGTCGGTTTGGTGATGAACGAGACCAAAGCCAAGCTCGGCGCAACTCAGGGACCCGACCAGGGTACCTCGGGGACAGTTCGGGACCAGCTGGAGGCTGTGTTCTCCCGGGACTGGGACTCTGAGTACGCCCACAAACTGACCTCTCGCTGGGCCATGCAGAACATATGTCGCTGAGCGTTGAACGCGAGGAACCGGCCCTCCAGGGCGAGGGGATTTCTTGCCGAAAAATCAACACGTGAATGGACCAATGGAATGTGTGGTTGAAATTTTGTTTTGTTAACTCATGGCATATCTTGCGTTTGATTCCATTTTGCCACTTAAATTTGGTTTGGCCACGCTCATTGTCTGCAGTCTCACCGTGTTTGACAATGAAGATTTAATGCGTGGAATTGAAATCAATTTGGAAGAATTCTTTGTTTTTAAAAAATCTATCGAAAGAACAACACGTAATTCTCTTTATCAAGACCTTTAAAATTAAACAAGTAATTTGACTCTAGATTTTAAGCTTTCGTGACTGCAAGGATTCGGTAAAGTCACCTACGTGACTTTACCGAAAGAACTAAGAGTAAGTAATTTGACTTAAGAGCATGCCTGCTACTTGCATATGGTACATAGCGTCGCGCATTGGTAAAATGTGGTGAAAGAGTATCTACTCTGCAGTGTTTTTTGTAAATCGCGCACAAATATTCAGAATGACAACCGTGTGATGCTTTAAGAATGGACAAAACAGCTCACTGGTAAAGGGGCTGATTCTTAAAGCGGTGATCTAATTAAACTTGAATTCAAAAATATTTTTTGTTGTCACTGAATGTGGAAAAGCAATCACTGTAAATGAAGCAGACTGGTTGTTATCGTGTCCACTATATTTTATGTTAATTACGAATGCAATGACGCATTTAAAACATTCATTACAAAGACCAATTTGCTAAATCGTTCGATTATCTCTCTGCATTCAAGAGCCTCACAATATGACATGTGGATTTAACCTCAAATGATAACATGGTACAGCTGCATGGGACACAACTATAATCTGGCCAAATACTTATCTGCAAAATTGTAAAAAAAACACATTAGACCGCTGTAAGGTTAATCAGCTGCTGAATTTGGTACAAAATCGTATCCCATGAGTACACCATCACAAGTTCACTGGGTGAGCCAATTTAAACACGGCGAGCTGCATATGTGAGGGGTTGCATTTTTTTCCTGCTATTATAAAATATAAATGTCGATGCAAAAGATGATCTTGGTTAATGCAGGGTAACAGTCCCCACGAGGGGACAGTGTATTTGTTCATCAGTATGCGTTTGCCTTGTAGGCGTTCTGCTGGTTCAGGAGAGAGGACTTTTCTGAGACAGAAATTGAGATGCACAAATGTACTTTGAACGAGAGTGTACAGGATCCTCTCTGGAGTATTCCACTTAGTCCTGGTTCGGCAAACTTTCAGAGAAGAAGAAAACTTGTTTTTGTTTTTGTCTTTGACCAAAATAGTTCGAGAGCCGCATCACACGCACAGCTTCCTGTATACAGTAGACGACAAACACATTCTGACTTAAATAAACAAAGTAAGTGACGGAATAAACTTTGTCTCCTCAGTTTTTCCCCCTCCCTTTAGCTATTCTTTAACAATGCAGTTTAAACTGTTGTAAATGTTGTCACCGAGACATTCAACAGTGACCCATTCCCAGTGCCAGATGAAGCTAGTGCGAGGCCTGTAGCATGTGTTATAAAGGGGTCCTAAATAAAAAAAAATATAAAACACACATTTTTTAATTATATAGTAAATTAATTGTATTTGTTTCTTGCTATACAGCCAGAAAATACGACAAATCGCTAACCTTAAACACCCAGTCATTCATAAAAGTTGAAGGCAATATAGTACTATAGTAATAGAGCAAGTGCAGAATCACTGAACCGGAATTGATAGCTTGAAAGCGTTTCGCGCGGGGCCCTTGAAAGTGCGGGGCCCGTAGCATATGCAGCTACTTTTGCTACTCGGAGAATCCGACACTGCACATTCCCTGCCATATTTGATCAATTATCTTTACCTTAAATTACGTATTAAGATTTAAGGTTTCGTTTTTTTTTAAACGGCTGCCCGCAATGGGGAATCCAACGAGCCACCGCATGTGGCTCCGGAAACCCACCCGGTCTGCCCACCCAGTCTGCCCACCAAGTCTGCCCACCCGGTCTGCCCAGCCGGTCTGCCCACCCGGTCTGCCGACCCCTGGGAGTCGTGTCACGGCCCGACAGGAGATCGCGTTTGTTGCAATGGGGCCCCGACTGGTGCCAGGAGGATCGGATAGGAGAAGCAGAGCTGCGTTGAGCACGGAACTTTTGCTCCAGCGCCTGAAACAGACCATTGCATATATATATCGCAGTGCCTGAGAAAGTAATTGAAAATTCAGAAGCTCAAAAAAACAACGTTTTGTTAGACATTCCAGGGGTTTCCACACATTCCAGGTCAAGTTTTGCGCTTTGGAATAAATACGTTGGTGGAAGTGCACGCGTGTGAAACCCACTGTGGAGTTGAGGAAGGTGGTTATTATGGTCAGAGGTTTACTATTACAGCATAGTCAGCACGTAGATAATAATTGGTGATGAGTAGGAATCTTTGTATTAGTTTTATAAACTTAAATCATGAATACACAATTGAAGAGGATGACAATTGGAAACGCTAGGTTAAGGAATGATATAACTCAGGACAGAACGTAAAGATGTGGGGGGGGGGGGGGGGGGGGGGGAGGTGGGAGCGAGACAAATTGTAAATCAATGTCAAGCTATACTTTACTGTATGAGAAAAACGTTTCCTGCCTGGATTCCTGTCGGCTTGGTTGGCGCGCGGCCAAGTGCCGTGGTGGTGGTGGCGTCACCCGCATCTCGCCACACTCCGCCCGGCCATGTGCCCCGCGCAAATGCAGCAGGAGAGCGATGTGGAGGAGGGAGACAGAGGAGGCAGGGAGATAGATGAGGTCGATAGAGCAGTGGTGAGAATAGGTTTTCCACTTTTTTCTGGCAACAAAACAGGTGTTAAGATGTTAAAACAGCAAACTGAAACTTTTTACAAGGAATCATGTCTGCATTAACCACAATGCTTGTGGTCCCATGATGAGAGCAGTGGTTCTTAACGTGGTGTGCACGCACCCCCTGGGGATGCGAGACAGATTTGATTAGAAGGGAATGCATCGAAGACACACGTAGGTACAACTAATTCTAGATTTGAAGCTTTCGTGACTGCAAGGATTCATACTCTTATGTTTTTTCGGTAAAGTCACGTTGGTAAAAAGAATTAATAAAAAAAGATAAATTAAATAATATTAATCATATTAATAAAATAATTAATTATAAGTATATAAATAATAGAAATAAAATAATTATTTATCAAAAATTCTATTATCATTTCTATTATTGTATTATTTATGTTTATTATTTCTTATTTATTTTTACCTACGTGACTTTACCGAAAAAACCTAAGAGTATAGGTACAACTACTTTGTTTCATTAAACCTATGTATTTATTAACATTCTACATTTTTAACGATTGCAACCCAAAGGAGTGCAGGCTGCAGTGAACGGTTAAGAACCACTGAGATAGAGGAAGAAAATATGGAGAAGAGAGGGGTGGGGAGATAACGCCAGGGGGCATCAAATGGGAAGAGAGCAAAACGGAAAGAGGAGAGCGAGTGATAGCGGCAAGCAGTGCAGAGGGAGAGGCAAGAGAGATGGAAAGGGAGAGGAGGGGGGGGGGTAAGGAGAGCGAGGGTGGGCGAACCAGGGAGAGAGATAAGGGGAGTGGGTGAGACACACGAGGGAGGAGAAGGGACAGGAATAGAGACAGACATCGAGATAACTGGGATGTAAACCAGTGACGCGCGGTGAGGTCAATGGCTGGGGAGGCACTGGCTAGTATCAGAGCCAGATTCACACACTAAGGGGGGCGTGGCCTCACGGAGGGGGGCGTGTCTTCACTGTGGGGGGCGTGTCAGACACGTCCCCCTCAGTGAGGCAGATGTGATAGCTGCCTCCCCTGGTGCTTTTTCATTGCAGTTTCATGACGAGACCAGCGAGCCTAAATATATTTATACACATACGTGAAATAAGTTACCTGGAGTATGGAAGGCGAGGACATGAAATGAAGGGGTCTACAAACATTACATTGGTGACATACTGAGATAGTAACAGGCACGCGCTTATTGCCCGCGCTCCATCCAGTTACTGAGGGGTTGCACAATCAGAGGGGAGGCTGAGCTCGTCGCTGCCTCACCTCTCATCTCTTCATATATTTGCAGCGGAGCTCCGCAAATTTGGCGATTTTGACTATAAAAATGATTGGAATCGTACAGAAATGACATTTATAACACAGATCAGTGGAAACATCGTAATATTTATTTGATTTGATTATTCTTTTTTTTTACTTTTCGTAACAGCTATTTTCATTGGAGTTTGACAGGTGAGGCTCTGCCTCCCCTGCCTCCCCTGACCGCACGTCCCTGATGTACACATACCTCTCAACCCCTGACCAGTGCCCTACCTTATTACAGACCAATTCCAACCTTATTGGTTACCCCGTGTCCGTATAAATCTCAACGTTCATCCTACAAAGTCCCATCACAAGGGAGAAACACAAAAAATCGACCAAAAAATATTGCCCGTATTGAAACGGCTGTACGCCGTATAGAGCTGAAAACTCAATTTCCCTGTTCAAGATTACGGAGTAATCCGGATGGGTTGACAGGTATGAGAGAGACAGAGAGAGGTCGAGATAGCTGGGATGTACACAGTACAGAGAATGCAAGAGGAAGATGGAGAGAGACAAGGCTTCTCTATATAAGATTAAACGTTTTGCTGGCTGGCTGGCTGTTAGACGGACGGTCACATCCGAAAGCCAGTGCGGGTTGCTATTTAAAATAAATAAATTTCCTGTGGCAAATGTTGGACATGACTCGAAATAGTGTTGTACTGTGTTATGGGTACTACTCCTGGCTGTGTGTGTCTTCTTTTTAAATAGACATTCAGATCGAGAAAGCATAACCGATCAGTTATCAGATGGTATTTCGTGCAAGGGTTTAATTATAATTATTATTACACACTTTTATTTAAATTGCCATGTTTGTTTATATTCTTTCAAATCTTTGACAATTTAATATCTTCGGATCTACGAAGCCTAACGAGCTGACATTTTTGCACAGACTCGTCTCGCGTGACAATTCAAGATTTCGTAAAAAAAAACAGGTCCAGGTCCCGCCGATCCTGGATTTATTCGTGTGCTTTTTAAACACATTCCTGCGAAGGGAGCTGGTAGGAACATTGGGTTGCTCGGTCAATGGCCAGGGTCAACGGGGGCGTGGTGTATTCCGCAAATATGGCCGACTGTGAGGGTGGCCACAAGCCGGCGTGAGTAGGTTAAACGTTGAGTTTTATAAGGGCACCACGGGGTGACCAGCCCCTCCCCACCCAGCCCCACCCCTGCCACCCCCCACCCAGCCCCACCCTCCCCACCCAGCCCCTCCCCACCCTCCCACCCAGCCCCTTCCCCACCCTCCCCACCCAGCCCCTCCCCACCCTCCCCTCCCCACCCAGCCCTTCCCCACCCTCCCCACCCAGCCCCACCCTCCCCACCCAGCCCCTCTCCACCCTCCCCTCCCCACCCAGGTCCTCCCCACCATCCCCACCCAGCCCCTCCCCACCCTCCCATTTTTGGTTCCACGACGGACGGACGGACACAATAATCCCCTGTGGGCTGGTGGAACCAGGTGGTTCCTACCAGTAAAAGCTTAATTTCAATAATGAATACTCACACATTCCGATTTCGAATCTCGAATGGTCACGCCCAGCTTCGAGGGCAAACGTCTCGTCCAATCAGAGCGGCTGCTGTTGCTGGTGGACCCTCTGACCAATCAGAGGCGCGCTTACAACGCCGCTCGTCATGGCGCCGGAGCGGCCGCTGCGCCCTCGTTCTGCCTTAGCGCGAGACCAACAATTAGGACAATTATAACAATTATAACGACGACTATTGTTAAAATAATGACATAGTTATAATCGTAATACATAGCATTATCACTTGCTTTGTCACGCCACATCCGAAGCGCTGAGGGCGACGTGGTTATTCTGAAGGTGAGCGAGCAGTTGATGAACCGTGGTCGTGATTTACAATTAAGTGCGCGAATTCCATCCCTATTTTGATCGGCAAAATGTTCTAATTATGATTGTTGATTGTTGATATAAATGCCTTAAGTTAAAGGGCAAAATATGTGCATATTCGTGCATTGTTATAGCATTGCAATCAATGTGTCTTACCTACTTTCATACAGTAGAGTACTTAATGATCGCAAATACGAAGATTGTTTTAAATGTCATTTCACTACTTTGTAATCGGGGTGATCGTTATTCTAATTGTATTAGAACTTGCCGCGTGCTAAGACCGTTGTATAGCAATGCGCATGCTTTCATTTATTGTAGGGTCAAGGGTTGACATAGGCAAGCCATCATTGTCATCTCTCGTAGGGTCTTAAAATAGGTACCACTTTGTGCAAAGTCGTGAGTGGTGGTTAAATATGGGCCCTGCCGTGTGAATGT